GTCATTAATTCAATGCTTTGAATCGAATCGTTTTGCTGCTCATTATCAACTGTCTGCAATAAGCAAATAAAAATTCATTTACAATGAAAATTTCCTTTCAACTGAAAGAAAAATTTCTCAAAAATCAAAACGAAAAGAAAAAAATTAAGTAAAATAAGTTACTTGAACTTGAGAAAACTCATCGCTACATACTGAGAATGATCGTAAAGTTTTCGTTGGTGAAGAGCAGATAGTGGTATCACGAGAAACTGGGTTGCTAAATTGATTGGTATCAGCTTGCATCAGGGATTTCATTTCGGTTACACTTTTCATGAAAATCGAATGAACTGATGTTGTAATCCTAAATAAATTGGTTTCTAAGTAAGATTTCTCAATAAACCAATGCAACGCTGTCCAGAAAAAAAAAAAAAAAACATAAAAAACATACATGTGCTTTTCACAATCAAATCTACCAGTCAACAATGGTTCAACTTCTTTCGGAAAGTGGAATAGACCTTCATCAGCAATAAAACCTTGTGGTTCATAATTTGAAGGTGTCCCTGAAAAAAAAAAAATGTCAGATTGATAATGAAGATTCACAGTTGTTTTCTATATCTTTGTATAACTGAGTATAAGTTAAATTTATATTTTTTATAAATCCATATCCAGACAATAAGTTCATCAACCTAATGAAAGTTTGCGCTAACTTACTGAAGTATTGAGAGACAGTAATTTCTTAACTGCTTCAGTTACTATTAAATCTTCATCATAGCAAAGCATGATAGTATATAAAATGTATAAATTTACAACAATATATTAAAAAACTTATCACAAAAAAATGTTACTTTCATCATAGTAGGTAAGCTTAAAAATAGTGCAAATATTCTGTGGTAATGGATCCATCATATTTTTATATGCAGTGACACGACGAATCAAATGAAAAAATTGTTTGCGCGCTTGTGTAATTCCTGTATATTTAATAGCAGCGACTTTCTCACCTTTTGTGCTATAAAAAAAAAAAAAAAATTGAAAATTGTTATAATTTTTAAAAACTTCCTATTAAAACAAATATTAAAATTGTATGTTAATAAAATTATTGACATGCAGTTTTTATAATTGTATAATGCAAATTACATATAGCAAATTTTTTTATCTACAAGTTAATCTATCAGTAGTTCAAAACTAGATCTATTCGATTTAGAAGATATCACTTCCCTTGTAAGGATCATTTCTGCTTGATCAGAATCATAAAAAAATGACATCCGGTGAATTTCCAAAGCTTCATATTCATCTTCTCTGTCACGATCAGCAACCATTATGATGAAGTCACGTAACTAGAAATTTCAATAAAAATTTTGATTTCATTTGTAGAATGAAATTCATTTCCATTCATTGAATCTTTTTACTTCTTTTTCATTTAAATTATAATTTTGTTGGTGGTTCAAAAGATACAGCTAAACAAATGGTTAGATAACTTTTAACAACAACTGTAAAATTTAATAAAAAAAAGAATTGAAGTGTTAAACTGAAATTTTGAGTTTTTAAGTTTTTGATTAGATTTTAGATTACAATGATTCAGCCTTTTGAATATATATTGCTAAATTTCAATTAGTATGTTTTTCAATTCGTAAAATAAGAAAAAAGCAACCAAGTTTGTATTTTGTTAGTTATAACAGCATCATTTAAAAATACAAGTGCAATAGGGAGAAATTATGACTAATGAGATTTTTCGAATTTAGAATTTAATCAAATTTTTTGAACTTAAAAAAAATTTACATATGCAAATTCAATCGCTTCCATAACACCTTTAAGACCATGAACAATATCTTTGCCTTCAGCTTCAGCTCGAACAACATAAAACTTCCATTCTAAAAATTCCGGTTAACTGTTTAATAACAAACCAATAATGAATATAACTGAGAGATTATATTACAAATACAGTCACATTTGTATTAATCCACTGAATTCCAAATCTAATCAATTTTTTTTTTTTGCTGAGTGAAACAAAAAAAAGTAAACATCCTTTTTTTGTAAAAAAAAAAAATGATTTCTTCCAAATCTTTCTTCCTTATTTAAAAAAGAATTCATTAAAATGCATTTTTTGCTTTATCACTAAATGACTAATAAGATGATATATCTTATTTTAAGTATTATGCATATTCAAATGATCATCAGCATTGTATTTATCATTTATTGCTAACGACTGCTAACATTCGTATTATCATTTATGTTATTATCAATAGTATATTTAATACTTATTAGCATTAGACATTGCTTTTTATTTGCTATTTCATTTAATTAAAAATTTAAATCTTTATTCTATTATTGAAAGATAATGCTGTGAATGATATTTGAATTTCAAATGTTCTTATCTTTCAATAAACAAATTGAAAAAAAAATTTACATACTTTCAATTTGACGTTTCTTGAAGCATTTTACTGGAAGTAAACCTCTGGTATAAAGGATATGTGATGCAGTAATGAATACCACACGTTGTAGAAATGATCGTGATTTTTCGCCAACCGGTTCATCCGGAAATGTTGCTTCCCACTAAAATAATCTGTACTTTTTCCGGATCTATATTTCTAGAAATATTACATTGATGTAGCAGTAATGACGAAAAAAAAAATTAACTGTTTAAACTCACTCACTGTAAATTCAGCTAACGATATAAATTAATTTAAGGAAAGCTTTCGTTTATATTTATTGCTGATAATTATAACTTGTTAAAAAAAATAACTTACATTTAAGCCTTTTCTCGACCGTTTTTTTTGTATTATTTCCATTTGATCGCACCAGAAATCCTGAAATATAAATTATAAAAGCTGAAATATAAAGGCAGGAAAAAAGATATAGCAAAAATAAAATCAAAAGTGTTACATAATAAAATATCCTAAAATACAAATTATCTTTTTTTTTATAATTTTTATAACGCTATCTTCAAGTAACTTCATTTTTTTCTGCCATTTTATAATTTAATAATCAATAATATAAAAATTTCATGTTGAAATTGTTAATTGATATTAATCGACAATCTAAAAACTAATTGCTAATCTAGAACTGTAAATCTGCTATTAACATTTATCATTTTAAACAAGAATTGTCAGTACTTTAAAGTCAAACAAATCATCAATTAAAATAGAATAATAGTTCTAAATATAAAAATAAATTATATTTAACACAATTTATGATTAACAATGCAATCGAGTATTTAATTTCACTCATCGATTAGGTACTTAATTTCGATCAAATTTACTTTAAGTGCAATCTAACTAATTAATCTTTATTATTTAGCCAATTAATTTTAATCAAATTTATTAAACTTAAAATTTGAAAATGAAAATTTACAAATCGAAAAAGTTTATGAAAATTAATAATTATATTTTAAGAATTACATCTCTACTTTAATAGCTAAATTTCATGCAAACAATTCACTTCTGCCCTTATATACCGCACACAGATCCATTCCAAATTAACTTTTATATTTTGCACGTAGCATTGCTGTTTCAAATGAGAAATTGCACGTATGCATTTTTAGATTTTTTTTTTGCATTTTTTTTTTTTTTAAATTCCTTAGAATACCTTTTAAAATTCAATTATTTCAATAATGAAGGTTTGTTGTTATTATTATGGTTGAACTGATTAATATCATTTAATCAATTATGAAATTCAAATTTCAATTTAGAAATTTTTAAATTGCTGAGGAATTTTCAAAGATAATATGTTTTAATCACATTCTAAATTCGAATTCAAATTTAAGTTCAAATTCGGAATTTTTTAAATTCCATAGAATACCTTTTAATCATATTTCAAGTTTAAATCCAAGTTCAGTCCGAAAAAAAATTTTTTTTTCAGCAATTTTTTTAATTTTAGCAATTTCCAAACGATTCCTACTGCTAGCTTATCAGTAGAAATTATATGTAATCAATGTAATTTGAAATTAAAATTACAAATCATAAGCTGTGCTAAATTTTACAATTTAAATGGATCAATTTAGAATTTAAGTTATATAATATGATTTTAAATTTAATCAAATCTTTTGTGCTCAAAAAAATTTACTGTTTAAATTTCAAATTAGCAAACATTCGCAAATTTTTTGATTCAATATTATTCATTAAAATTTATTAGTTAAATTTAGTTTCAAAATGCAAATTTAAATTAAACATAGCATTTTCCATTTCATATTTAATCCAAATTCAGCATCAATTAAAATTAAATTTATAAATTTTATCGAAATAAAACTTAAATGCATGCATAAAACTTATGTACATGACATATTATTAAAAAGTACAAATATGAATTTAAACGATTAAAGTGATAAAAAGTGATAAATTTCCTTTTCAAAGTGATAAAAAGTGATAAATTTCCTTTTCAAAGTGATAAAAAGTGATAAATTTCTTTTTCAAAGTGATAAAAAGTGATAAATTTCCTTTTCAAAGTGATAAAAAGTGATAAATTTTCCTTTTCATTCAATAAAAATGAAAAATATTTTTTATTAATTAATTTATATCATTCATATCATAATAATATTTTATGTGAGCAATTTTCATTCATATCATTTTCCAGCTTAATCCAAAGCTTATCGATAATTTGTTGTGTTATATGATAACCATTAATATGATCTAATATACAACCCATTTGATAAGTCTAAAAAAAAACAAAATTAAAAATATTTATTTGATATAATGTAAAAATTTGTAACAAAATAAAATAATCGAATCAATTCGAAAAAAAAAAGTAAATTTTAATTTATGATTAAATATAAATTTCAATGTTACGTATGTATGTATTAATAAATATTATTATAATATCAATATATAATTTTAAAAATTTTAATCAAATATATTAGTTCAATTTTTGTAAATAATTTCTTTTTGCTAAAAAAAAATATGAAAAAAAGTAAGGAGAGAGAGAGTAGAAGAAGAGTAAAAAATTATTGGTATAGCAGTAAAAATGATTAAAAAAAAAAAGAGAGAAAAGAAAGAAAACAAAATATTGGTTAAAATTATTTTAATTTTCATTTAATTAACCTGTTCAGCAATAATTAAATTAATATAAATATATTGCCAGTGATTGATTACAGCACCTGGTCGTTGTTGTCGAATTTTTTCAATTATTGCCTGAAATAATTTTTTTTTTTTTTAAATTTGTTTTATCTTTTTTATCAAAAAAAAAAAGAAATGAAAAATTTTTTAAAAACTGTAAAAATAATAATTCTTTAAATAATTATACAAAAATAAAGATAAATTTTTATTTTTATAAACTAGCAAAATAAAAAATAAAAACTATATTAGTTAATAATATTTTAATTTCATTAAGATTTACTATATATAATAATTTATTTAAGAATAAAATGAATGTGACTAAAATGATTTATTTATTTCTTAAAAAAAAAAATTTTAAAAAAAAAGCGTTAATTTTAATGTTTATATTTCCAATTAGTTTTTTCTCGTTTTTCAATATATTAATTTCCTTATTTATTTATATATGTTAATTTATTTGTTTATTTGTTTGTTTATTAATTTAAATTATACAAATTATTGCAATGAAAGCATTTGAAGGATTTAATATATTTAATTTAATTGTTAGAATTACAAAAATTAACACAAATAATTTTGATTAATTTTTTTTTTTTTTATTAATTTCAAATTCTATTTTGCGACAAATTTATTTCATTTACCTTAATATTTACAGTTTGTAAATTTCTAAGTTGATGCATAGCAAAATCTAATGCAAGAAGAACACCTGTACGACCACGACCTGCATGACAATGTATTAATGTTTTATCATTGCTTACCTGTAAATTTATAAGACAGAAAATATTAATTATTAAATGTATTAAATTTAAAATTAAACATGAAAAATATTATTTATCAAATTTGTATTAAATTTAAATTTAAACAGAGATGATACTAATGTTTAGTTAAAATATTCTAGTAATTAGAATAAAAAAAAAAAAAATCTTTTTCTAATAAATTAAGAAAAACATTTTCTTATTTTTCTTAATTAAGAAAAAAAAATTTCTTTCTTTCTTAACTTTAAAAATTCATTTTTCATTAATTAATATTTTATGTTGTCTATAAATTATAATAACTATTTTTTAATTGAAGTATTTATCTAACATATTATCACTACTTTATATTTTATATACTTTAATTACAAGTATAAATAAAATAAAAAATAGAAATAACAATTCTTACTACAACTAAAATAATTAAATTTTAGTAAAAAAAAAAAAAAATCTTGCTTTGTTTAACAAATTTTTATATTTCCCAATTAAAAGCAAACAAAAGAACAAAAAATAAAAAATTCTTACTACTAAAACTAAATTTACTTAAAATCAGTAATCATTTATCATTATTATTTAATAATAAAATCAAATGAAACAATAAAATTGCAATCAATTAATCTAATATTAATTATTTAATTAATGATAATTAAAAGAAGAGAAATAATAAATATTGTTTACCATTAAAAATAATTTCAATAATGTATTAGCAGCTTTAGCTAAGGTATTTTCTCTTCCCCAAGGTAATGGCAAACGTCCATCTGGCCAACGATAATAACATATATGTGTAAGATAACGGTCATTTTTTTGTTTACAATTTTGTATACAAAGTTGTGTTAATCGATAAACACATTCTTTAGTATTAGTTGCATAATGTTTACAATCTGCCTAATATTATTTTATAAATTAATATCTAATTATTTAGAATTTAAAGTTTCTTTTTAAAGTTTTTTTTTTACTAAAATTTTAAAAAAGCGTAATTAATTTGATTATATATATATATATGAAATTTAATAAACTTTATTAATTACAATAAAAATCTCACTCATTTTAATTTGATTATTAATTAATAAATAATATTACTAATACAACAAAAGTTTAATTCATTTTAATCTGATTATTAATTAATAAATAATATTATTAATACAATAAAAGTTTAATTCATTTTAATTTGATTATTAATTAATAAATAATATTATTAATACAATAAAAGTTTAATTCATTTTAATTTGATTATTAATATTTCTTCTATTAATATTTATTTCACATTGTTCATAAGTTTTTTCTGTTGTTTTCTTTATATAAATTTATTTCAATCTTATATTATAATCATTTATATTTATTTTAATCGTATATTATAATCATTTATATTTATTTTAATCTTATATTTTAATCATTTATATTTATTTTAATCTTATATTTTAATTATTTATATTTATTTTAATCTTATATTTTAATTATTTATATTTATTTTAATCTTATATTATAATCATTTATATTTATTTTAATCTTATATTTTAATTATTTATATTTATTTTAATCTTATATTTTAATTATTTATATTTATTTTAATCTTATATTTTAATTATTTATATTTATTTTAATCTTATATTTTAATTATTTATATTTATTTTAATCTTATATTATAATCATTTATATTTATTTTAATCTTATATTTTAATTATTTATATTTATTTTAATCTTATATTTTAATTATTTATATTTATTTTAATCTTATATTTTAATTATTTATATTTATTTTAATCTTATATTTTAATCATTTATATTTATTTTAATCTTATATTTTAATTATTTATATTTATTTTAATCTTATATTTTAATTATTTATATTTATTTTAATCTTATATTTTAATTATTTATATTTATTTTAATCTTATATTTTAATTATTTATATTTATTTTAATCTTATATTTTAATTATTTATATTTATTTTAATCTTATATTTTAATTATTTATATTTATTTTAATCTTATATTATAATCATTTATATTTATTTTAATCTTATATTTTAATTATTTATATTTATTTTAATCTTATATTATAATCATTTATATTTATTTTAATCTTATATTATAATCATTTATATTTATTTTAATCCTCCAAACTTATTTAAAAATTTTTTATATTCCATTTTATCCCTTATCATTTGTCTATATTTCATTTTTTAACAATACTATTATCCGGAATTTATCAATCGTATGCAACTTACCATCATAAAACTATTAATGCAAGTTATTTTAAATGGCATATAATTATATGTTTTACCATTGACAATAGGCCAATATTGAATTGTTTCATATTTTTTCTGATATGAATCCGGATAAAGGCATTCCTCATACGGAAAATTCAATGATATTATAGTTTTTACATTTTCCTAAATACTAAATTTTTTTTTTTTGCAGTAAAATGCAAAAAAAAAAAATTTATAAAATTGCTTATTAGAAAAAATTTTTAATTATAGTGTAAAATTTTTTAATTTAATAAATTTTTAAGAAATAAAAATTATGTTTTCTAATTTTTAAAAAATTTAAAATCTTCATATAAAACAATTTATTTATTAGCTTTAATTATAATTTAATTATTATTAAAAAAAATTCTTTTTTAAATTTATAAAATTTTTAGTGTTAAATAAAAATTATATTTGTAAATTATATTTTGTGAAAAGAATTATATTTTTTAAAAGTAAAAATTATATTTTTAAATTATATATTTATTTTACCTGCCAAACAAGTGTCCAAAAATCATAAACTGTACCATAATTAGGCCCCTCACATGCGATATATATTTTGCCATCTTCACGTATAACACGTTGCGCATTTACCTGTAAAAAGAATAATCTTAAATTATTTTAGAAATATTTGCTCAATTTTTAAAAATATTACTAAAAATTTATATCGAATGCAAAATTTCCTTTTTAGTCTTTTTTTTTTTTTTTGAAAATTTTAATCTATTTTTCTCATTTTATAAATTAGTTAAAAATTTTTGAATATTGCATCAAAAAAAAAAAAAAATTTTTTTCCTTTTCACTTAAAAATATTTACTAACTAAATAACAATAAGAAAAAAATTTTTTTCCAACATATTTGTTCATATTAATTTCTATTATATTCAAATTAAACATTTAAAATATAATCAAATATAACTTTAAATTTGTTTAAATAAAATTATTATACACATAAACTTTAATAAATTTAATTCTTTTTTAAAAAAAAAAAAATTTTTTTTTTAGTATTTTATAAATTCTAATAAACAGAAAAAATAAACACATTTAAATAAATTTTTAAATAATTTCTCTTTTTTTCTTTAAAATTGTTTTTAATCATTGTACTTATGTATAATCTATAAATGATAATTTATTCATTGTTTATTAATTAATTTAAATGCATTTTTTTTTTACAGTTAGATTAAATTTTAGTATAAACATTTCTCCTTTTTTTTTTTTTAGTTATTTATTATCTAACAAAAGTAAATAATTTATTAATCAATAATAGCAGAATTATTTGTGTTACATTTTAGCATTTTTTAATTAATGCTAAAACGATGAAAATTTTGTTTAATTATATTTGCAAAAATTTATTTAATAAATTATTCATTTAATTAATTTAAAAAAAATATATATATAATATTAAGATTATACTTTTAATGTGCGTGGAATACAACCATCAATTGAATGTTGAATATATTTAAAAGCATTTTGATTATTATGTTGATTTGATAAGAGCCAATTATTTGTGATATATTTTAACAATCGAAATTCATTGCATAATGATTGATAAATGTTTGTTATTGTTAAATGTTTTGAAAAGTAATAATAATCCATCTGTTTTTAATTTTAATTATAATCAACAATAAATGATTTATTTGCTAAGTTTTATTTTAATTATATTTATAAAAAATAAATAAAAAAAAAAAAAGAAAAAAAGAGATAAGTAAAAATGAACAATTAGCAAATTGCATTTATAACATATTGAAAAATATTTTCAATTTAATCATTATTATAGAAATAAAAGAAAAAAAAAATATTTAAATAAATGAATTATTAGTACAATCCCTACTATAGTAATTTATTTAGTTTTATAAAACTACGAATATGTAAATTTATAAATTTGAATAATTAAATAAATAATTAAATAAATAATTGACTGGATAATCATTTCTCATATTAATATTATCACCTTCATATCTTTGTGAATGACTGAATTTGCTTTTCTCCTTTTTATTCCATTTGATTCAGTTTTATTTTCAATCATATTTTCACAATTATTTGCTATAGAATACAACGAATGATTTATGTTTTTTAGAAATTTTAAAAATTCAAACAATTTTATAAATTGTTAAAACTTATCATAACTTTAAATAATATTTAATCGTAAATTTCTTCTCTTCCGTTTTCGTCCTTTTTTTTTTTTCGGAAAAAATAACCTACAAAATTCAATAAGCCGATCGTATGGACTGAATCATTCGTGAATAACTTCATCCATATTAAGCTATCCAAACATTTTATATTTGTAGCGATCCTATCACGTAAATATGTAAATTTCATACAATTATTAATTCATTCATTTATTTTCCGGATCACAATAAATCGTATGGAACCTTGACTTTATCGATCTTATCACATCACACAAATATGCAAATTTCAGATAATTATTAAATCACTCATTTATTTTTGGAACCACTATGAACCGTATTAAACCTTTAATTATGTCCACATCTAATATTAAATTTCGAAAAGATAATTTGTTGCTTTAATTATATTGAGATTACAATAGTATTACGTAACTTGAAGTATTCTAATATTTACTATGCTATCGCGAAAAAAAAAAAAAACAAAACAAAACAAAACAAAATCACTCGCTCTATTGACTTTCTATCAATCTTTTACTAAACCGATACACTCAAAAAGTTTATTGAACAGTAGAATTGCAAAACGACTAAAATTATGCATGAAATTTTACTAACTTTAAGAAAACATAGAAGAATATGAAATTTCTATTTATTTTATGACATGAACACAATATTTAATATACAATGAAAGTCTGATTATAAAAGTTAGACCATTCCAGTAGGAATATCTGACAAGAATGGAATAGTTTTTGAAGTCACGTTTTCAAAACACTGGTTTATTTTTTTAATTTTTTTTTTTTCTTGGAAAAGCTAAATAATGATTCAGAATAAGATTAGTCACAAAAAAAAAAGCTCATATACAAATCAGATTAAATCAAAAATAACCATAATTTTATTAAAAAAGCTTTCCGATCAAATCAAAACATTACTGTTACTTTACTAATTGACTGCTGTTGAAGAAAAAAATGGACTAAAATGTCTGTTCTGGACAGATACGAGAGATCAACATGAACCAATCTTATGCAACATAATCTAATGGTCGGTTAAATCCACCTTTCCTGTTCATATACTGCCGATATCGTCGTGGTTTATTAATTGATACTACACCATCAACATTACCTGGCACCTGAAATTATCCATATAAATTGAATTAATTGGTACATTGAAAAGACATTTCAACATAATTCCCACTTATTTAGTACGACTGATAGCAACATTATATTTATATAAAAAAATTTGATGAACTGTCATCAAAAGACAAACATATACCTTTTTATTCTTGGTTGTATCAAAACCTGCAAAACCCATTAATTTAAGCATGTCTTTGTCGAGTCCTTTCAAAGAATCAACACCAACTAAAAAAATCAATAAAAACAAAAGATAAGAAAAATTCTCTCAAATAAAAGAAAAAAATCATTGCTAACTCAATCAGTAAGTGAACTTCCTGTGGGTGATAACCTGGTACTTAATAACGCAGAATCCTTTTCCGTTAAGTATGTTATATGTGACATATGTGATGTATGTAACAACACCATCAAGTAAACCGACCAACTAAATGATCGAATTTTTTTTTTCTTATTTTTTCCTAATGATTGTTATCCAAAAATAGTCCAGTCGAACATAATATTTTCTAGTTGATAAATATTTACCATCTTTCGGTTGTTTTTCCTTTTCTCGATCCCTAAAAAACAAAAGTAACGCAAGTTTCCCAGAATTTTCTAAAAATTTATTTCAACCAAATTAAGGACGAGAATTACGCTAATTTTTTTCCATCTCAATAACTTACGATAGCAAATAAGTGAATGCTCATTTTGCATATCAAAAAGTGATTCTTATTATTCAAAAAATATGGTATAATGTAGCGAATGGACGATGAAAAAGAAACTCAAACCGAAAACTATATTTGACCTTTACTGTATATTGATAAAACCAAAGAGATGTTAATTTCACAAAGTTTATAAAGATTCGTCAAAGTCACCTTCGTGATCGCTCCTCATTACCATATCGCCTTCTTTCATCCACTCGTTCACGGCTTCTACTTCGACTTCGTCTACGATCTACGGGACTTCGTGATCGACGGCGTTCCTAAAAATGAAATTTGATAATTAAAGTTTTTTCATCGAATGAACTGCAATTTAACGTTAAAAACTATAAAATAAACACCTGAAACTATTTTTCTCGAATAAACTCCAATAGCTATGAAAGCGATAAAAAATCTGCAAAACAAATAATTAAATTCTAAAACTTGCATACTTGGCTACGACGACGTGAACGATCTTTATCAACAATTCGAGTCCGACCAGCAGAACGTGATCGTGACCTACGTCGTCTCTCACGTTCTCTTTCTGCAAAACAGTACGAGTTTTACTGAAAATTATGCAAATTAAATGCACAAATGTAAAATGACATAAAACTATGCTAAAGCTAATCAATTAAACTGTACTGAAGTAAAAATTACGACGAATGATATCATTTCAATCAATAATCCTAACTTTTGTCAAGTTAGAATTAGTAAGAACTACAGCGCTAAACATTTATTGATTATTGAATAATAGCAGGAAAATTATTATTTAGGTAGAGAGGCATTATTAATTGAATGACACAAACATAACAATTTCAATAATCTTCTTCAAAATGTTTTTCCTCTAAAAGAAAAGATAGAGAGAGAAAGAAAAAAAAAGAAAAAGAAAGACTGACAATTAACATTTACATAAATTCAAAGCAAATGTTTCCTCCATGATAAGTCATATCAATGGAAATTTATCAATGTCTTTTGCTAATAAATTTAAATAATTCAAATAAATTAAAACACTTACCTCTGCTTCTGCTTCGTTCTCGTACCATTTTAGCTATTATACTTTGATATCTTAGATGATTAATTCAATGAAGGAAATAAATAAAACACAAACATAAACAACGATGGCATTTGATCTAATTGTCAAACAATAGGATGAGAATTTTGCATAAAGCGAATCTTTCTAAGACATGTTTCATCTAAAGAAGCTAAATTTATGAATGATAAACTGATAATTATGATAATCAATTGATATGATAAGGGAAGGATTAGGTTAGATGGTGATGGAATTAAAGGGATAATAAACTGAATGAAATATTAGTAATGTGAAGTAACATATGTTTGTTTTTTCGTCTTTTTTTTTTGCGCATAGATTTACTTGTTAAAGTTATTTGTTGAAAAAAAATGAATTTGTTAGGAGATTACAAAATAACTTCAAAAAAATTACATAATTTGTATTAGCTATGACTTCATTAGGCGTTTGTTTTGCATTATAGTTTTTATAATGTAACTTTTAAAATTTAGAACGCATTACAACTGTATCTTTTTTTATTGTAGGAAAGTCAGTTAATGAACATTAATTCATTAGTTAACATTAGTTTGCTAGTCCACTTTTTTTCTTTAATTTTAAGTGTGCATAAATTAGAACTGTTTCTTTTTAGAAGAAAAGTTTGCTAAAAAGTTATGAAAGTTTCTAGAACTGAAATACATTTAATATGACTGATGTTTGCTGTACCAATAATACCCTGAAAAAAAGTTAAATCGAGGGAAAATAATGGGTTGCGTAACAAAACGACGAAATACAGGGACAAGTCGGCGTAATGTAAGTATACGCATAGAGTGTCATTTTCTAGTTTGCTTTTTTTTTCATATTTTTCATGATATTAGTACTCAATGTGTTAGAATCAGCAAAGTGGAGTAGTAACCTGTCAGAAACATTCTTGATAGTGATTTATTCCAACAAAATAGTTCAGAACTTATTTTATAAGCTTATACAAAAAATGAATATCTCATATGCATAATTTGGAGTCGTACTATTGATGTTCCATAGCAACTGGTTGACAAGTCTCAAGATAATTTCTTATTTCGAAATGAAAACTGCATTAGCAAAAATTGAAACAAATCTTTTTTTTCTGTTTCACTTGTAGCAAATAATATATAATTGTAAAATATGAGCTTTTCAAAATACGTTTAGTTTGAACTTCTTTAATTTTTCTATGAAAAAACTCAATATTACTTGCTAATTTTATTCCCTAATCTATATATGTATTGTTTTAACTATAAGTAATAATTATATTCATGTCAATCAGTAAATAAAGTCCAAAAACTTGATCTATTTACCAAATTACAAATATTTTTTTCATGCATCAGGTTTCAAATGAATGTGAAATACCTGATGAAATCGATTTTGATACAGCATGGAAAGTTTATATGCTCAACAAATCTGCGTGCCTTCTTCATTATGTTCCTAATCCAAAGTAAGGCCTTTAATTCATTTACTTTCTTTGTTTCAATTCATTTACTTCTCATATAATGGTGTAAATGACAATTTTGTTTTCTTAAAACATTATAGAACCAAAAACTGTCGTGATAATCCATATTGTTTGGGACGTTTGGGCTTGGAAAAATGGGACAAATTATTAAGTTGTATCAAAAATGAAAATAAGACGAACACCGATTTGGATCGACGTGATATTGCGAGGATACCTTGTGGTTTAGTGAACCTCGGAAATTCATGTTATGTGAACAGTTTTCTGCAGGTATGTGAGACTAACATATGGTTAAAGGGAGTGGAAAAAATCTAGAGATTATTGTTGAGATTTAGTATTTGTAGTAAATATAATTTTTTATTGGAAATCTGAGAAGAGAAATTAGAAGAAAATTCATATGTTGTTATGATATCAGTTCTTCACAATTTTCTCAATTTTTAGATATTTTTCAATGACCCTGTTTTCCGCAAATGCATTTATGACTGGCGACCAGTTGCTAATTTTGTCAAACCAGAAGGAGAAAAAATAAATATTGAGGAGCTGATGCACTGCATACAAAAATTATTTATAACTTTACAAATTACACCTTATGTGAGTTTTTGAATTTTATTTCACTGCCAAATTTCATCGAAGTTGATTCGAAGCTTGATTTGCTGTTTTGAGACTTTCATTAATTTTATGGGAAAATGTATATAACATTCAATTTGAAAATACAATATATAGATCCGGGATTTTTTTTAATAATTATGAAAACTGTATACCGTTTTTTGTACGTCATTCTTCCGTACAAAAATTATGTCGTAAATTTTATTTTTTCATATTATTTTTAGGAAGATACCAGTGCTGAAGGATTGGTTAAGCTGTTGCAGCTGGATGGCAATCAACATGATGCTTTAGAGTTTCAAATACTTTTCTTTGGTAAACTTGAAAAACTGCTCAGCTATCATGTTCAATGGCATGGAGTACGCGAAACTATTCTCAAAAGGTTCCAGGTATAGACTTAAAAATCATAATTTTTTCAGTCTAATGACAGAATTTGTATTATATTTTTTGAAGAGTTATGGAAGATCAAAAATTTTTCAAGCTGTCTTGCAGGGAGCTATAACGCAAACAATTTCTTGCAAATGTGGACGCCGCAGTGTTACGGAGTTACCATTTAATCCATTTTATTTAAGTATTGAAAAAGCTAGATCGTTATCAAAGGCATTGGAATATTATTTTCTTCCAGAAGAGTAAATTCATCCGTTTTGTTCTGATTTTTAAAATTTAATTGTTGTGAAATATCCTATTATTCAGTATAACTTTTGAGGTAGTAATAGTGTAAGTGTTTACTATACACAATAGCTTATAGTTCTTCCTAAAGAAATTTAAGACATGTAATTTTGACAATTAGTGACATGATGTAAATAGTTTAATTTATTCATATTTTATGATTGATGTTAGCAACTTTTATTTGCTTTCTCATCTTTCTTAAGCTTCAGGTTGTTTCATCTTGCTCTGACATCAGTAATGATGTGGTTCATGTTAGAAAAATGCAAAAAAAATTAAAAAAATCTTATACCTAATATGATATTTATGGTTAATTGATTTAACAAGAGTTTGGGGAGAAAGGAAAGAGTGGAGCTTAAATCAATTATTGAGAAAGGTGAAAATAAATTCATTATTTTAGGTAGCTCTTAATTAAAATATATGGCTTTTTCAGATTACCTGACTACAAATGTAGCGAATGCGGACAAACTGGTTCTGCACAAAATCGTCTTGCCATTAAGGAGCCTCCACCTGTGCTAACAATACAACTTAATCGATTTACATATGATGCGTAAGTTTTATCACCTTTTTTTATCCGTCTTTTTTAAAGTAAGAAGTTATTTTTAAGTAAGACACTAAATTCATTCATTAAACAGATCCAGAATTTTTGCTTTTTTGAGCGATTTTGGTTAAAAAAATTCAAATTTTTAAAAATTATAGTGTGGGACACAAAAAGAAGATTCACTCACCGTTACAATACCCAAGAGTTTTACAACTCGGTGATGTAAAGTATGACATTTGTGCTGTAATGATACATGAAGGTCCTAATGCTGATTGTGGACATTACTACGATCTAATAAAGCATCCAGGCACTAGGCAATGGTTCACATATAATGATGAGGTATTGTTTTGCATAGTTCATTTTATGTTATGGAACGATGACAAAAATGATTAAAGTATGTTTCAAAATAGGTTAACATGCAGTTACTGAAAGGTTAGATGATGTATTAATCCTATTTTGTAAATAAGGTTAGATGTAAGATGATATCCAAGGTTAGATGATGTGTTAATTATTGACTACAACTTTAATTGCTAATGTAAATAAGTTTTAATGAATTAAGAAATATACAGAAGCAATGAACGAAATGTTCATTGAAATGTTTAGGTTGTAAAACCATCTGCTACTCCCGGTGTAAGTGTTGAAAAAGAACGCACATCAAAAGTTACTGCCGATATGAAAGGTTGCTACGCTTTAGTTTATCGTCAAGAAAATGAAGAGAATTCAGCTATTCCTGCTGTTCCGGAAGATTTATTAGGTGATATCGCTAACAAGGTATGAACAAAAATTTTAAGCTTGTTCATTTTTTTCTTTTTTTTTTTGGCATTTTGTTTGTGAATAATTTCCATTGACTTGGTGACTAAGATTAAATTTATATTATTCGTTATTGGTGTGTCCTCTAAGTTCTGAAGAAATTTTTTTCTCTTTTGATCTACGATGATAACAGATCTCTTTATCCATGAATTAGGACAGAAATATATATTTTGAATTTACAGCTAGAAGAAGAATTCATTGCTCAAACCAGTGCAACCACAGAAATGACTCTGAGACTTAAAAATACTGTTGAAGATTATCACAAACGTCTTACGGATACATTCGATAAATTACAGGTCTTGTAATTTTACTCAAGATTCTTTCTCCCCCTTTTTTTTTGACTTCATTCAGAAAGAAGCAAATATTGAGGGAATCTACGAAGGGTATAATGACAAGAAATATAGAAGGGGAAATTATTGGCATTGTTAGCAGTTTATAAGTGGTGTTTTTTGAGTGATTTCAGTTCAAAATATTATTCAGGATTAATTTTAGGTAAAGAAAAGCGAAAAAATGTTGAAGAATCCAGATGACATTGTATTTTTACCCACTGAATTATTCAGTACTGTTTTATCTTATGAATTCAGCAAGATGGTGGAAAATAATGATGAGGTAAAGAATTCCAAAATACTTTATATTTTTTTTTACGCGCCTAGTTTAGCCAGAAATAATTTTCCCTGTCTAAACTGTGCATAAGAAATATCACATGTAATTATTTTATTTGTTCTTTTGATAGATTTAGCCCATAGTTCTTAAATCATTCGTGGATGTTACTTTGGTAATTGTAACTATACTGCAGAATATTACGATGATCTTAGTTAGACTGCTTGTAAAGTGACATGTAAGAAATTTATCGTATTCTTTTATCGCATATTTTTTGAATATGAAATGATGTCTACTTTACTTTAGGTTTTCAAAAATGTTGCAAATAACACTAGAAATGCTGCGGTCATCAAATCATTGAATTGTAAAAATACGCATGAGGTTGTGACATTTTTAGAAATCAAAGTTTTATGATAGTTTTTATTGTATTACAAAGTATTTGCATTTTCATGATATCTAGTAGACAAGAGATTGCATATCATATATTTATCTTAATCTTTTTTTCTCAAGCCTTAATCTTTTTGTGAATGGTCATGAAGTTTTTTTGTGTTGTTTTAGAGTGGATCGAAATCATCATTCTCGTTGTGTGTACATAATCGTGTATCACTTGGCAGTGTAAGAAGTGGCGCAATAAAAGCTGTAATGAAAAGCGCAGCAAGAAATTTTTTGACATCTTATGGTGTCGAATTTGTTGATTTAAAAACTGGGTTTGTACTTTGATAAATTTGATAAGGTTCTTAAAAAAAAAAAAGACCTCAAATATATGAGAGTTTTTTCGAACTGCTATCTAGAAATTTTTAAGGTCAGATATTTGCTTGGAATGCGTAGAAGCACTCAAGGCACGCAATGAATTTGTCAGGAAAGTTCAACTAAAAGAAAAGCTAGTAAAGCAATTGTTACGAGAGAAATCAAAAAGGTACAGTTTATATTGTGATTACTTTCTCTATAAGAAAAAAAGAAAAAAACTGATTGGTTTTGGATAAATGCGCTTATTTAGTGATGCTTATGTTTTATAGATTACAGCTAAAGAGAGATAACATAGGAGAATAGACTACATAGTGGACTATACGTCTCGAAAGCATTATTTTAAAAGTTCGCACTATTTTTTGCAGATAATTTGTGATAATAAATCATTTGTTCAGACTTTTTTGCGATTCATTACTATTGATTGGTTTGATTTATTTCTAAATGGAAAAAAAAAATTAGAGAATTTTGCAGGTATTATCATTCGGAAAATTGCTTTTGGGTATCAGTACGTTGTTTATCGCAATATCGACAATTAGCTTTACGTGCGCATGAACAGTCCATAAAATCGTACGCAGAAATTACAGAATTAAATTATTTTTGGCCATGTAAACGATTTGGAAAGGTTAGATATTGTTGGTTGAAGTACTTAATGATTTTGCTGAAGATGTGAAACGTTCTGAAGTTCATGCAAAATATTACAGCAAGAATCAGTGACAGATTGTGATCCTTCAACATCTGAAGTTTCACAAAGGCTTTTATTGGAAACTGGATCTGGAAAAGCAGTTGATGAGTTTGGCTTGCCAGATGTAATATTTTTTTCTAGTTTTTCATAAGTTCTCCATATTATATGCAAACTTTCTACTTTCACTTCAACTTAATGTTCCTTTCTATTGATAAATGTGGCAAGAATATGCGAATGAGATCACGAAGAGTATTAATATGAGATTATTGCTTGACAAATTTTGCTACTTTAGGATTTTGGTCCGGTAACCTTCTCAAGTAATGGTGGCGATTCTTCAGAAGCTGCAGTTAATGGTAGCTCTACTGAGGTATTTTGTTTAAATTTGATGATTAATTCTAGTGTTCTTTAATTCTTTTGTGCTAAATAATGGTTTTATTGAACCCTAAATGCTTTATCTATTCGTATGAAACCAAAAAAAAAAGTTTTTCAGTTACCAGGAATAACCCAGTCCAGTATTTCAGATAATTTCTTTATCGGTTTTTTATTTTTATTTTATTTTTTTTTTACAGGGAAATTCATCTGCAACTGGTGATACATCAGAGCAAAATACTTTTGTTGATGGAAAACAGGGTAGTCGAAAACGGGCAGTTCTATATTGCAAAGATCAGGTGACTCATTTTCTACCACACAGTGAATCTACCCAGGGATTTACGTTTCCAGTTAACTGAAAAAAATTTTTTTAACGAGAATAATACGAATGTTGTGCTCCATCTATTTTTTTCTGAATCGTTGTTGTTGTTGTTGTTTGCATACTCATTGGGTATTGTGCATCATTGTTGCTAGGATTTAATTCTGGTTTCTAACAAAGCATAAAGCATTCAAAAATGGATTGATCTAGAATAGTGTGAAATTTTCTGTTTTATTTACCAAATCAATAATCGGCAATTCTTAAAGGCCTAAGAAATAAAAAAAAAAAGAGCAATGAACAGGTTGCTTGGAATTCAATCGGCAATTGCACAGTAATATTTTTATTAGTTTTTTTGCAATCATTTTAGGTTGTTGACTCTGTTATGGAAAAATGTACTGATAGTTATCAAATTTCAATAGTGGATAACTTGGATTCGTCTAAAAAACAAAAGTGTAAGTGACTGAATATTTAATTTAATCATGATCTGTTGAACTCTGCTTACATCATTTAAAGTTTCCTTCAATTTTCAGTGTTTTTTTTTTTTTTTTTTTTTTTTTTTTAGTAATTGAAATCATATAGGTTCTCTCATTATTGATATTCATTACTTGTTATAATTTCAAAAATTGTATGTTTGATTTAATTTTCGTTAGAGCCAGAAAATCGGTTCCATCTTTTTTTCTTTGGAATCTTAATTAATACTTTAATATTACTGACACTTTATACGGTATATGCATTCAGTGAAAATTTGTTTTTAGTATTTGATAATGATACTTATTCAACAACTCGACAGACAAGGTCTTCATCTGAATCACCACCGGATATTGCCGAAGTGCCAGATATGGTCTCTACTGCTATTGGAAAAAGTGAATGTGATGAAGATGTTAATGAAGCACAAGTTGAACAATCAACTGATACGAATGAGACTTGTAGTGATGTATGCTTGTTGATATGTTCTTAAATTGATGAATTATTTAAGTTTTGTTTTCCTTTCCATTAAGGAAGATTTTAAGCTTATCGAAAGCGTAGTTACACGTTACTAAATGTTTACACGTTACTAAACGAAAATGTAATATGGCGAATTCGTGACATTTACCTAGAACTATTGATAGAATAATAATAATAGATGTTAATTAGAAAAGACATTAAAAACAATCTGATCATAACTGTTAACTAACTATTATTAGAAAGATAAATTTTCCCTCATTAACATCTATTATTATTATTATTATTATTACATTCTATAATAGTTCTAGGTAAATAGGTGATATTTTCAATATACACATTGTAACGAATTCAAATCCAACTTATTGATTTCTGCTTTCTTTGCGCAATTCTAACATTAATAAATTGCTAGGTAAGAAAAGAAAATAATCTGATCATAATCAATTTTCTGTTATTTCTGTTATTGCAGAATTTAGTCGCAGCTACTTTTGATGAATTTGGCCCATCACATTCGGGGAAAGAATCAAGTAAACAGCAAAGTTCGACTATCGATGATAATACACAAGGATCATCAGAGAGTAATATTCAACCTAGAGATGCACTTCAGGAAGATATGGATTGCACTCAAAGTGAAGAAGATGAAGAAGAAGAAAGTTTGGTGGTTTTCAATGGTGACCTACGATGTGAACATGGTTTGTGTTTTTTTATTTGTTATATGAATAAATTATGTTGTTGCATTGAAAGGAAGAATTTTACTTTTAATATCCAAAAGAGATACATTTAGTAGAAGAAATATTACTAAAAAATAACTTTGCAAATTGTATAATAGGATTAATTTTTCTCATAAATTTTAGAGCATATCATTTTTGATGATATATTATATCAGTGGAATAAATGAACTAAGTTTGCCTGTGCAAGTAGATGTTTATGAAAAGAATGAAAAGTACTTTAAACATTTTCGGAAAAGATGTACAACTCATTTAATAGCTTAGAAAATTATGTTTATTTATGTATCTTTTCTAGGACTTCTGGATTACGAATGCTGGATGACAAATGAACGACGCATTGTTGTTGATGAAAATGAGTGGAAGGAATTAACTGTTGGAATTTTTGAACCGGACCATTTGTGGTGTATTAGTGTTGATGAATTTCCTTGTTCCATTTGTAAATCAGGTTATTTGGTAAGTGATTGTCTTAGTTGTGTATTTAATATGACACTGTATTAAAATATTAATTCATTCATTATGATATGTTTAGATTATTTGGTAAGTGATTGTCTTAGTTGTGTATTTAATATGACGCTGTATTAAAATATTAATTCATTCATTATGATATGTTTAGATTAATCCTTAAATCTTGAAAAAGAAGCTGTCTTTAGTTAATTTGATTTAAAACAAAGTTGGGGGCCTGTTGAGAATTTTAGGCCATTTCGAGAATTATGCCTGTAACAGATGATATATATAAAATCATTACAAAAATTCTTAAAAATTGAAATTTTTCGGAGAAATTCTTTTGATTAATAGAAAATCAGTTTTTTTTTTTTTTTTTTTTGAATCCTTTTTGTTGATTGTTTTTTCTCTTTTTGTAATTTGTCAAACATTAGTTTTTTTTTTTTTTGTTGTAATTTGTCAACAGCAAAAGACATTTCCTTTGCCCGTGTTTTCAGTACAAAAAAGATGATTGGGAGGAAACCTTACGGCGTATGAAGGAAATACGTTTGGCTATCGGTGAATTGATTCGTACAGCTGTTCGAAGGACAATAACGGTGAAGTCACCGACGCCTCAAATTTACCAACGTGTTATTTGTCGAAATTTTTTGAAAAATCTGATTTCAGCATTCAAGTAAGTATTCTAATAGGCCATTCCTATAACAGAAATTTAAAATGCGTTTCTTTTGTGAGACGAAAAATAAAGCATTAAATGGAAGGACAAACATTGAACAATTCATTTTGAATTTTGCTTAAATTTAAGGTAGTTTAAATATATTGTTTAATATCTACATAAAATTACTTATTTGTTATTTAGAAGCCGTGTACGAAATCCAACTATTCCAACCATTTGTCAAGACTGTATGCTTTGTTCACTACACAAAAAACCATGTGTATTAATTGATAATACCGAGGGTTTGGTATGTTCCAATTTCCACTTTTAAAAAAGGCGGAATAAATTTAGGCAAAAAGTAAAATTTTTTAATTATTTCTATTTACGAATATAGTTCGTATTTAATACCATTTTTTTTTAACGGCTGAACAAATCGAATGAAATAATTCGATTGAACAAAGCTGATCTTAAGTGTCATTCAGTTATATGCTGTTTTATCGTGTTAAATACTACATGATGCACATCACTGAATGAGAAAACTGCTTTATAAATCTTGAAAATCATTTAAAACATTGTTCTTTCAGGCTGTTCCACTTACTTTAGAAGAATGGCAAAAAATTCTAGCAGCTATGCAAATCAGTGATGATGATGTTGTGCTCATTTGCCTTGATAACAAAGGTTATTTCTTTTGCTTTTTGAAAGTAAACATGAAATAAATTTCAAATATATAATAAAGTATTATTGACTGTATCTATTATTATATGTATACTTTGTATCGCTAAAACAATTTTTTTTTATTATTGTTGATAATTTTGCTGGATAATCTAAATATGTGTATAATGTACATATTTATCTCTGATTGTGTTCCCGGTAATTGACAGTTCACTTGAAAATTAATGAGTTTTAATGAACTAGTCGCAGAGTAGTGAAGAATGAAACCGGAGAAAAGTAAAAAGATGTAATGCGTTATGTAATAACTCGATTGTAACAAAAGGATTTTTTATTTTGCTATTACTCATTACTTTCTACTTTTCTGCTTATATCGGCTAGCAAAATTTTTTGGTTTACTTAAATATTTCCATTTAATATATATGTATAATATTTAGGAGTATGTGAAATGTTCTGTGATGAATGTTTTCGGCAGCAACAACTTCAAGTTGAACATCAACGTTTTGTTTACGAAAATGGCGCTGAAATTTATGTGAAACTTGTGAGTTACTTATTTTTCTCCATTTGTAAAATTTGTAACATTTTTGTTGCAATTTGCTAACTGATCCTGTGGTTTTATGATTAAGAACACTTGAATATTATATTAATTCTCTTCACATTTGATTCCTTCATATGTGCATCAATTAAATGTCACAACAATTCTAAAAATCATTGTTATTTTGTTTATCGAAAATTTTTTTTTCCTTTTCACAGAAAAGTGATAAGAATGATGAACCAATAAAAACAGCAAACGGTGATTTGATAGCACCCTTTAATGCTACTCCATCATTGATTCGTCCGGAACGGCATGCAACAACAAGGCGTGCAGTCGCGAAATGTTCCATGGTTTTCAAAGTAATTTAATATTTATATATGAAATCGTCACTTTTTTGCTTATTTCACGAAATCACCACACTTACAGTAATTTTAACAATATTTTTATTATTTCTTTCCAAAGAGATTAGATTTTATTTTTGTTTTTCTGTTAATCTGTTAGAGTATGCTGACACCTTCACTGATTTTATGACAGTTTGTTTGTAGAATGTATTGTAGAATATAGTATGCTTAACTAATTGTTCTGTCATAATTTGTTTTCTCAATTCAGAATTTCCCTTGCTACTCCTTCCTTTCATTTCTTGGTGATATTTCATTTCTTAATATCCTGTCATTAACGAATTAGTCATTGCTAAAGTCCTCAATAATATTTACTTGTAGATGACGTCTCTGAATACAATTCATCAGTTGAAAATAAAAATATATCAAAAAACGGGTCAACTACCAAACGATCAACTTATTTATATGAAAGAAAGGCTTCTCAACGATTCGGTTTGATGATTATATTTTAAAATAGAGTGCTGTCAACTTTAGTATTAAAAATAATTAGACTTTTTTTTATTACATCCTTACTCTTTTCATTCATTTTGCTTTGTAATTTTCTATAATAAGAAAAACATTGGAAGATCAAATCATTTTCTTTTTTTTTTTTTTTTTTTTTTTGTCTCGACTGTAGGACTTTTCTTTACTTATTATTTTAGTATGATTTGCAGGATACTTTAGAAGAAGCTCGAGTTGATCCACAAGAGCTTATTGAAACACCATTAACATTGATTGTACAACAACCTACCGAAATCCCAACAGAACCACGACAATTGGAACGTGGTTTTGCTGATACTGCTTTGTCGCATTCTTAGTCTTAGTCATGATGATATAAAATATTCTTAGTTGATGATATAAAACCAAACTGTTCTGTATATCTACAATGGTATTTTCATTCTAATTAATATAATATTTACATAGTTTACATAAGAATAATCTGTTTTATTTGTATGAAAAAATCTTCAGATTAAAAAGTTCCTGATTTATTTTATGTGATACTGGTAGCCATTATCGTTTCCTGCAATCTTCACTTGTTAAATTTATCATGCTTTTAAAAGAAGCATAAAAAATTTTCCAACTTTTTGGTTTTATAATTATCTTAACTTTCTTTCTCTTTGTTCCTTTTGTTACTTATATTTAAATTATTGTACACAGTAATAATTAGCTAATGAGTGTCAAAGTTTTGTAAATAACAAAGGAGAGAGATGTATTTCTGTGCAACTTTATTTACATAATTGAGGCCGCTCTCTTGATATCTTCCACCATTTTTATTTAGCGTACTAATATGCATCCTATTTTAGGTACTGATTTATACTGTTTTAGTTGCATAGGACTTTGCTTAGAATACAGTGATATGTTTTCTTTCTTTTTTTTTTTTTTTTTTTTTAGAATGCATTAACATATAAAATATCTTTGATTTTTCAGAAATTACAGGATGAGTTATGAATTTGCAAAGAACTATGGGATTGGCTATTGTCAAATATCTTGTGGTAATGTAATATTATGTAAATCAGAAATCGAAAGAATTAGATTTATGATTAGGAATCAAATTTTTTTCATTCAATTCATTAGGTTGTCAGTAGGTAAGAGCATTTCTCAAAGTTATGGGAGCATTTTCTATTTATGCTTAAAATAATTATAGCTATAATTGTTGTGCTTCCAATATAGTGATACAATTCATCTTGGTAAGATATATTTTGACTATAAAACAACAATCTTTACAAATTTTTTTTTTTCCTCTCCAGAATTATGTGATATCTGTCGTGCATCTATGCATGCTTATTTTATTTTTATACTGTAATGTAAGTACGACATCACGTGAATCATTTCAACTTAGATGTAATAAATTAGCATCTGCATTTATTATATGGTAGAATTGAAGAATACATTTTATATAATTCAAAAAATTACAACTACAGAAAATAGATGTAAGACAAATTCGAGACAAATTTTTAGTCCAAATTCTCAAATTATGCTAATGTTTACATTAATTTACAATACTTTTACTTTTCCTTTTCGAGTGATCTAAAGTAATATTTTTCATTCTTATTTGCATCGTTGTTAGTGAAGTCCTTCTTCTTAAACCGGTATTGTTTAATTTAATCACTGTTACTATTTCATATTTATATTCACACACTTGAGTTGCATGGATAATTATTGTTCAATGCTTTGATCTTTCTTTCATCGCTTCAAATTTGTAAATAATTATAATATAGTGAATAAATTTTGTAATTGATTGTTTTGATGTGAAATATTCCGATGAATTAATTCCATTATATAAAGTTATTTCCCGTTATCTATTATAACTACTTGGAAATCAGAAATCTACTCGGTGGATGGGTTATGAAGTCTTAAGATACTGAAATTGTAAAAGTGCTTAAAATTATTGTCCTTCTCACAAAGGATGAAATAACGAAGCTTTTCTGATAGAAAATTCTATTCATTTGGCAATTGTATTTGTAATTAAATAAGCAAATATTTATGTGAAATGAGTCTTAGCATAAAAATTTTAACTTACTAATTCTTCGTTATTAATAATTATGATTTGTAATTTTGAAGTGATTAAATGTACTGAGCTTTCAGAGATAAGAAATTATGCATCGATATCGTGTCTACGTAGCGTTTACATTAGTAAAACGTTTCAAATCAACGAAAGAAAATATCGATACTACCTATTATATACCTCCTAAAACATTTCGCCCCGCATATTATCATCCGTTAAAACCATTCAAACGTAAACCGCCAGATCCATTTCCACCATTCCCAGTAAGTGATAATTTTATTTATAAAAATGCATCAAATGTAATGTATTCGATTTATGTTATGAATTTTTTAATTAACAAATGAAGTAATATTTCAAAGAAATAAGCATTTCAGTGTTTTATTCAATTTCACTCAATTTTTTTTTTAAATGTTTTTCCCTTCTTATAGAATGAAGGTGATGCAAGTGGCATGGGACCACGTTTGTATGATTATCAGGTAATGAACGAACTTGTACGTAGCTTACCTAGTGCTTCGGAACGGATTGATTTTGTTAATCCATATGAACGTGAATTTACGAAACGTGAGAAACGTTTTCATCGGTACGTAATTCATTCATTTCTTTGTTTTTCTTGGCAGAATAAATTGTTCTGTGGAGTTTTTTTTTTTTTTTTTCTAATGTATTTTATTGAAGAAATGCATGGAAAATATAAGAAGCATCACTTCTGTGCTTCACTTTTTTCAATCAGTTTACTTAGATATGTCATCTGGGAGTTTTTTTTTTTTGGCATTTACTTATATTTTAGGCCATGGCAGGCGCAATTATTGAAAACGCGAAAAGCATGGAGGATAAAGTCGTTTCCCAATTATTATGATCCGTTAAATTTTTATCAGTATATCACAAAAACAAGATGTATAGAAGGATTAAACCAATGGTATGATGAATCTATTCCAATGCTTACTGAAGATTTCGAGGTAATTTCAAATTTTTATTGCCAAACGCTTTGTTGCAGATGTTTCGATTTCTTACGACTTTTTTTATACTTTATTTTCTTTTTTTCAATTTTTCAGAATCGTTTGAGCGAAATGTTGAAATTACATTTGGAATCGTCGAATGTTGATAGCGAACAAGAAAGAACTACGAGAATTTTGAGAAGCTTATTGGATTTGTTGCTTGAAAATATGATTCAAAGCGGCATGTATTCTTGTTTAGCACAACAGAGGGTTTATTTTTGTTTCATAAATTGTAATTAATTCAAAAGCATTAGGCAAAGTATATTTAGAATAATGAAATTTCTAGAATTTCGTTTTTATTTTTTCCAGTTATATTAATGATCAGAATTTGGCAAAATAAACAGTTCAAGTGAATATTAACTATTCAATGTTCTACTAAATATGCATATTTGTTCGAAGCTTTTATTTGTCTTAGATATCTCATGCGCCACGATGTGAATCATTCTGGATTCGTTGTGGATTTGATGCTCTTTACGAAAATGTTAATACACAACGACATCGAGGTGATAACAGGTAGAAAAAATGAATTTTACTGCTATGAGCTGATTTTTTTTTTGGAACAAAAATGAGTGAAAAATGAGAGGAAATTTTGAGTAATTCATTTTAAAATCATAAATTTCAATGTCAGAATTTTGAAATAATCAATTGAAATTTTAAATATTGAAAATTTGAAGAGCAAAGCTTGGTGAATTGGCTTTCGTCATGAGGGATTCATTTTCAACGCAGTTACGAACGAAGCATCCATTGAAACCTGTAAATTTTGAAATCAATCAAACATAGTTAGCCGAAAAGAATATGGAACGAAATTTGCTCAAATGAGATGAAAGTCTTGACACAAGATGAATTACTTATTATTTAAACTTAGTTTTACCGAAAATCCTAAATTTGGACATCGTTATTTGATTGATTAGCTATTGAGCGACTACTGATATATCGCACAATTGATTACTCTAATTATCATTGTGCCTTTCAGTTGATGTCATTTTGGGATAAGGAAGTTGTGGAGCCATTGTTTGATCCTTCATTTAATATTAAAGATGAATTAATATATTCTCCTGCTATGTTTGGGATGATGGCTGATGCAGATCCATTATGGCAGTGTCCAGGATATGAACCAGATTGTGGTAAGATTTTCGAATTTCAATCAATTTTATACTTGGAATTTTATCCCTATAATTTAATTTTTCAATTTTTTTCTTTTTGTAATTTCTTTATCTTATCAGATCATTATAGAATTGCTCCCAATTGCAATAATACCTAAAAATTTCATTATTCGTAATTTTTTTCAGTGTTACCATTCAAAATTACTCGTTGCTGTTGTTATTTCAAAAGAAAATCCAATCTTTTTTTTTTTTTTGAAAATATGCTGCAATATTACCTAAAAATTTCATTATTCATAAATTATTTTTTGATTTTCTAAAAATTTCGATGTTCAGGTGAAGAATACAAATATGGTCAGATAGGATTTAAACAATTTAATGATTTGGATATTTATTGTAAAAGATGGAAAGTGAAGGGTGAGGAAGAGGAAATAGTTCGCAATGATTGCCTTCGAGCTTCTGCTGTTGTATCGCTCTTTTCTTGGCTAAATGCTCAAGCTCATGCATTGGGTATGCATTTCAATTTAAATATTATTTTTTGTTTCATTATGCAATTATTTAATTAACAATTTCAACTATTCTTTATAATATATTGGCATAATTTAAATAATTATAAGTTATGAGTAAGCTTTGCTAAAAATTTTCATTGAAAGGCATTGGAATTTTTATTTAAAATGCCAGAAAATTTTTTTGAATCATATTAACAAGTCGATGTTGATGTTCAATGATTGCATATCAATGATGAAAATAGTATATCAAAATGATAAAATTCAAAAATAACAATTTGGGATTATGATTCACTTTTTCAGGTTTCACTCAATACAACGATATCGAATATCCTTTTGTATCGCAGTTAGTGTTATCTAATGGAAAGCAATTCTTCTTTGCTATAGCTCAACTGAACACTTTACTTATTAACGTGGATATTGAAGTATGTTTTTGAATATATTTGTTTAGCTACACAAACTAGATAGTGTTTGCTTCAGTTAATTATCTTTTGTGAAGAAAAAAGTAAATTAAAAATGTTTTTATCCAAATTAAAGTTTTTTTTTTTTCACTTGTCTGATTTTTTTTTTTTCAAATTTATTAGAATAAAAAATGTTCAGCTTGCTTTTCTTTTTTATAGGGAATAATAAATAAACGTTCAAATTTATGCTACGTCGAAGGACCACTAAATCTGTATGATCGATATGATTGCGATAAAGGTATATTTGAATTTG